GTGGGTCACACTTTCCGAAGTTCTCTGTGGGTATCTGGGTGGGTGCATGTGACAAGGGCACGAGCAGAGGCTGCGTGGGAAATGGGCCGGGGACGAGGAAGCCTGGTGGGGACTTCTGGTGGGTGCTGGTTCCCATTTCTCGTGGCGTCCCAGGCCCCGCTGGACACATGGAGAGGCTGTGTGGGACCTGGCGCAGGGGACACTTCTCTGAGGGCGCCAGCAGGTGCCAGCTCTGCGCAGGGGCAGTATGTGACATGAACTTGGAGTCTGGGAGCCTTGGGTCGGTCTGTCGGCCACGGCAGCCAAGTGGCTGCAGCAAGAGCGTGTCTCCCACCTTTCTCACAGGTGCTGTGAGGGTCAGTGTGGGATCCCACTGTCATCGGGGGCTTATGACAGTGTGAGCTGTTGTATGACCAAAATGAAGCACCTGCAGAGAGGGAAACAGCTGCAGTGTGAAAGCGAAGGCCTCCGTCCCGGACAACAGACGCCCCCAACTCCAGCACCATGTCCTCCCTCTCTGCAGGGAGGGCACTCCTTGGGGGTGCCAGGAATGGCCAGCCCCTGTGGCAATGCCCTGCTTCTGTGCATGCACCCCCCGCAGTGGCCCGTGTCCACCCCCCCCCCAGGCTCTCCTCCTCACCCCCCACTCCAGGTTGCCCACATGTTTATCTGTCAATCAGGGTCCAGTTAGGAAAATGAAAACCGTGACAGGTGTCTCGGACCAAGGAGGTTCAATGGCGAGAACTGACTGCACTGGTTTTGGGACCCACAGAGGAAGGAGTCTGAGGCAGATGCCCCGCAGGGCCGCTGGAACCACAGGTGGTGATGGCCGGAGCCCCCGTACGGAGGCAGGATGCTGAGGGGGCTATGTACACGTGGACCCACTCTTCCTCCCGGCACAGCCCTCAGGATAGCCAGTATCCTGGGACTCAGCAGCTGTAGCTGGCACTGCCACCTCAGCAGCACAGGGCACTGGCGGGGCGGGGGGCGAACCACCGGCAACTTACGGGGCTGCTCGTTTACCTGTAGTCAGGGCACCTTGCCAGGTGGCAGGCGCAGTCCAGTGCCTCTGCTGCGTGACCTGTCCTCCTGTCACAGGGAAAAGGGACCCCTGTGCAGGGTCTAGGCCACTGCCCTGGCCAGTGCTCAGTGTGGTTGGGGGGCCCTGGAGTGGGTCGCCTCCCACCTGTGTGGACAAAGTGGCCTCTGCTTGTGTCTAGGGAGGCTCTGCTCGCTAGCTGGTGAGCTTCCGAGGGCGGGAGCAGCAGGGCACTAGGACCTGTGGATGCATCCTTACTGTGTTAACACGCTTAGGCTCTTTGGTCTTAATTTCTACCAGAATCTAAATTTATAGTCTTAAAAACTTTCAAGCCGTACAAGTGCGGGGCTGGGAGAATCGGGCTTTGCGTGGCCCGTGGCAGGTCTGTGGCTCCCAGCCCCAGGGCTGCCGGCCACCGTGGCACGATGCCGCATGTGGACCGTAGATGTGGTCTTCCCTGGGCTCCGACTGGCCGCACGGCTTGTGCAACACCGAGCTCAGCCTGGACACTGCACTTTAGGGAGGGTGTTAGCAAAGCACTGAGACGACGGCACCCAAAGGAGACAGACTGAGAGTGTGCAGCGGTTACAGGGAGGGCACTTACTTTCTAAGATTTCACAATAACTCCAGCTGTCCAACACCGGGCACCTGTGCCTCGCTGCTCTCAAGCAGCCCACAGCCACTCCTGTGGGAGGGGACACCGCTCGTTGCGGCAGCTTGCTTACGGGTGGGCTTGATGAGACTTCCTGCTCCAGTTCCCACTGTATCAGCATTCATTCTCTAAGAGCTTTCACGCACGAGAATCACGACTCTGAGAAAGCGAGGAGAGAAACCCTGGCTTCTTTCTGTGGGTTGGCGTCCCACAGCAGGGAAGTGCCCTTCGGTGTTTTCAAAGAACCACTTGGGTGACTCTTTACGAGGGAGCAGCCCTTCAATTCACGTATTTGAAGTCACTCATGCGTGATGACAATCCTGTTACTGTCGGACAGGATGGAGGCTTACAGCGCACTCCTGAGTAATTCAAGGCTGGAGGGTGGTGTGTTTCCCCGGCCAGAAGTGTGTTGACAGACATTGCGTTTCTGGGAGCAGATGGGTACTGGATATCAGCACATGCAGTGTGAATTATGGCTCTGGAAATTACTGTGGAATCCCGGAAACATCAGTGTTTTTACTTCCTTATTTGAAAAGTAACAGTAAAGATTTACAGTGCCCTCCTTCCGGTTGTTTTTGTTCAGTTGCTATTGGCAAATGACAGACTGCGTATTGTCCTCATCTGTTGTGATGTTTTTGAAGTTGTAAGGTCCATGGAAACGTGTGTGCACTCACACTCACTAAGTAGTTAATAGCTGGACAGCGGGAGGAGAACGTAATCTCTGAATAAAGAGACAAAACACAAAGAATCAAAATGGCAGGCGATGATGCCGGGCAGGGTTTGCAGGCTTCCTCCTGGGACCTTGTGGGGGCTCTGTGGGGCCAACTGGGTTCTGGGCTTCAAGGAAACTTCACACGGATTGTGTTACGTGGTCGGGAGCAGAGGGTGGACCCTCAGACCGCCATGGCCATGAAGCACCTCACTAATTTAACGGACGTTGTGACGCGCTCCCAAAGGTGAAACTCATGTTAGAAAAGCATGCTTCCCCTGGCACGTTGGCTTGTGGTCAGGAGGCTTGAGATCACAGATAATGTGTTCCCTTTCAAAGCTCCCCGGGGAGGGAGTATGGAAACTGCACTTGCTTCCTGGGCTGGGGTGACCAACACTGAGCCATTTTGTTCGCCTTTTATTAACATAAGAGTTGATGCCTTTCCTTGGAAATGTGCGTCAGTAATGAAAAGTTCTCAGTGCGAAAAGTTCTCTTTTTATGAAGATAAAGTAGAACAAGGAAAGTGAGGAAGGAGGAAAAAAACAACGTGTATATGGAGCTGGGATGTCTTGCGGGTAAAGAGCCTTTAGGACGTTGACAGAGGCGGGCAGGAGTGGAGTTCTGAAGGAGAAGAGGATTCACAGACTGCATTTCTGCACATCAGGAAACTTTTAGGTCACCTGATGTCACATTAGTCTCAATACCAGCACCTGGTGGACTAGAGGAAAATCCGGGAACCTTGGTCATTGTTCAGACAGAGTCCAAGCTGTTCCCGGATTTGTGCCTGAGACGCCATCAGCCCAAACAGCACACCAGGTGGCTGCGTGCAGATATAGTTTATTGAGACTTACTGAGCGGGGAGAGTCTCCGGAGGGGGCCGGCCAGAGGGACAAGACTCGGCTCCCAAGCAGCCAGGTTACAGGTACAGAGATCCTCCGTGGGGGGTCACCTGGCAGGCCTCTCTCCTGCACACAGCCTCCCAAGGAGCCGCAGACCCTGAATGCCGGCCAGCTCATCTGCCTGTGGGCCTGGTCCCTACAATCACTAAGTCCAAGCTCAGAGGCAAATCCTGTCACTTCCTTGGCGATTTTTTAGGGGGATTAGCCAGTGGCTCTCAACGTGCAATTCCACATCACCTGGGAGCTTGTTAGAACTGATGACCCTGAAGCTCCGTCCCCAGACTTGCTGAGTCCGAGCCTCTGTGGGTGCTGGCCCAGACACTCTGGCTGATTGTGACACAGAACCCACGTTCTGGGCTCAAGATGAGAGAGCGCCCACCAGCCTGAGTGACATGGGAAGTCCTGGAGCTTAGACGAGCAGCTGAGCTTCCTAGAAGGTAAGTTGACTTGGCAATCAGCGAAGGAGGGTGGGTACTCCCGGAAGACACGGCCCACGTTCAATACCGTTGTGTATGTAGGACTTGGCTATTCATTCAGCCTGACTTTTAAGCTGCCCTGTTCAGACCGTTGTGACTGATTGATAGCACTGCTACGAAAACCTCAGGGTCCTAACTCCTGCTATGGAGTTCTCACCCACAAAACCACCCGTCACCACCCATGCTAGGGGCTATTTTTTCATGCAAGCATTAGAAAGGGGGCATTTCTACACCATGTTTGGTTAATACTTGTGTCAGTTTTTAAAAAAAACATTTGATGGAGACATGACAGGAACTTAATAGCTTCTGTTGGGAGACTTACCTCAAAATTGTGGCTCTGCTGGATTTTTTTAACCCTCAGCATTTTTCAAAAGCCTTTGCAGCTTGCCGTAAGACCCCACTCCCTGTGTGAAACTGTAAGATACGACAATAGCTCACTGTTTTGGGTACAGTCCCATCGGCTGCTGCACGGCAGGCTCCTCTGCGTGTGGCAGCCCCTGCCGGCACTGGGTGTGTGCACCTGCGACGGTGAAGCGCCTGCCCTGTATCACGAGACAGAATTGCGAGCAGGATACCCGGCTTCAGTACCTGACCCCCTGCCTCAGCATCGTCTCTTCTGACTGTGACGGTGACCGTCCGGCTACGTTTTCCCCAGCTCACAACTGGTCAGGGCTGCGTGCGTCTCAGTGTCCTCGAGGGGACTCAGTGGGTAAGGAAGGCTCGGAAAGCCCATTACATGCGCACGATTCTTCCTGGAGCTCTTGGTGTTCCCTGCGATTCCATAACATTGTAATGGATTGGCTGTGTGTCTGGTGATGCTCTTCAGGCTTCTCAGAATGATACAGTGTTAATTTTGGAAACCAGGGTATATTTAGGAAGAGCTGTATAGTTAAGTATTTAGAAAAGCTTTTTCGAAAGGACTTCAAAAGAAGGTTCTGGACCTAAGACACATCTATTGCCCATCAAATATGACTGTGATTTGGTTATTTAAAATGACCTACTGCGTGGTTGAGTTTGGGCCCATTTTTTCACCTGTAAAGTGGGGATACCACTATTTGCCTCATGGAGAATGTGTGCGGATTAAGTGAGAAAAGATGCCACAGGAAGGGCACTTGGTTAGAGTCACAGGCACTCATCCTGCCCTGTGATCATCAGCACTGAGAGTCTCTCCATTATTTAGGACACAAATGAAAAACAGCATTAAAAGCAAAGAAAACATTTTTATTCTTTGATAATATAAAACCAAGAAAACTTTACCATGTAATACAACATTGCTTGTGTCTTTTTTTAAAGAAAGAAATGGCAGAACTGTAGACTTGGGTAGAAAAGTACACTGAAGCAGGTGTTCCAAGCAGCTCGCGACGCTAAAATTATGAACAATAGCACAAATCTGAACAAGCCTGTCTTTTGTTCTGTAAGAAAATTATTCACATTTGCTTGACAACTTAAAACATGGTAAGAAATATAATTTTCCTTCCTGGTAACAGACTCAGTTATTTAACAACACACTCATTAACCAGCAATAACTTAGTAAAGGAACATTTCTGCTGTGATAGTAAGTTAGCACTAGAATTCTGCTTCTGTAATACTCGTCGTAGTAAAGACAACTTCTGACTGTTGGGCTGCCACACACAATGCTGGTGCAGTTCCTGGAGCTCACAAATTTGGAAGTGTGAGCTCAGACCTCCAAGAGGAAACGTCTTTGGTTTTCCCAATGCTTAGGAACAAAACTGACATTCAAATAACAAAATAAACAGAGGTGCAGGAAACCACAACTACTCAGTAAAAGCTATTTCTGAACAATAAATAGTTTCTGCACAAAAGGAAAACAATTTGCTTTTCACTTAACGAATTCAGGAGACAATGAAAACACGGAAAGGCAGTTTCCCATCTGGTACGGGCTTGACAGCCATGAAGTCAGGACAGTTCTGCCACCGTCCAGCAGGGGGCCCCGCACCTCAGAGAAGCAGCTGTGTAGAAAGGCACCTAGAAAAATATTTTTACCTGTGTTCATACAAAAGCTTTATTTGGTCAGAGTTTAGTTCTCAAAATATAAGTGTAACACTTTTGCTTCCACACTGGTTTCAAACAAAATACATTTCATATAAAATTTAATTGGTATAAACATGAATAAACATTCAAAATTACTCAATATGTAAATACTGCTAGAGAATCAAAGAGAAGTGACAATGAATTTGTTAAAATCATCACGTTCCATGTGACATTATTTAAAAACAAAGGTAACAGAACCTGACGTCCCAATGGCTGAGCTTTCAGAGGTGGGTCTGGAAGTGGGCCCTGGGCTTGCCCAGCATTGCGCGGCGACACTTACCAGCAGCCCTGAGGACATTCCATGTCCCCTCTGCCACCGCCCTTTCAGGACAGTGACCTGGGACTTCAGCACCCACGTGGCTATTTGCAACAGGGCCATAAAGACTGTGAACACCTGAAGTGCGTCTTCCGTCATCCCGTCGAAGGTTCCGGTGTCCCAGTTCCTCAGGGCACAGTCCCTGCTCCCGGCGGCGGGGTCCGCGCAAGTCCGCGGCTGCAAACGCTGCGCCCACAGACGGGGCGTTTGGGCGCAGCGTCCGTTAAAAACCTGCATCGACTCTTCCCGAAAAGTAATGTTAAAGCTTCGTTGAAAAAACGCAGGATGTTTACAATTTCGAAGAAGTCTTTTCTGCGCGCGGTCAGGTCCTTCCCGTCCCTTCGCAGAGGCCCCGGGGCCCGCGCGTCCTTCAGGCCCCGGGCGCGTTCTCCGCACGGAGGGTTCGCTTTCCTTCCCCGAGCTGAGACGACGATGCGGGGCCGCGGGGCCCGGCCGCCCTACAGCGTGACCGCGGGGCCGTGCTCCTCCACGCCCCCGGGCGGCAGCTCCAGGCTGTGGCGCGGGTCGGCGCGCAGCGAGCTGAGCAGCCGCTGGACCACCGCGCCGTGCGCGCCG